CTTGTATATATACATTTATACTGTTAATGATCTGTTACAGTAACATGTAGTAATTCTAAGTGTGTCAGTACTGGTGACTTGGTGTTGTAGTGGAGTCTGATAATTGTAAGGGAGCCAGGTGGCAATAATGTTATGAAACAATTTTAAATGTGTTAGTTGGTGAGCCTCGTCTCCTGGAATTTGTTCCACTTATTCTTCTAAATATATATATATTATCAGAGTTTCTATGGTTTTAGTGCTTAATTTTCAAACAATTGTAAAACAGCTTAATATACAGTTTGTATTATATCTCACTTATTTTGCTTGTGAATTCCATGGCATACCACTAGTGGGGGGGGGGGGGATAAAGTATAATAAAGTGGGGCTACTTTTTATATTGTTTGGTTTGCAGGCTTGCAAATCATGCACTGCATGACCAATCAGAGAACTGAAAATGTGGCAATAACATTATACAATGAAGTGTCATTTATATTTATTATTATTTAACTGTTTGTTTATTGTGTGTTTATTTGCACTGCAGCAGCATTCTTATCACATGCTGTGAGAGCTCTGCATGTCTCGATCATGTTATGCAATGCAAATTCTGTAGGTTTAACCTTGCACTTCCAGCAGTATCCTGTTTTCTTGAATAGCATCACTAACACCTGTTAGTAAGACCACAAAAGCCATGCTGTGTTAAAATAGCATGGCAGCTAGTGCATATGCAGAAGTTCAACGTTGACAATGTACAGGTTGCATGCTTTGTTCTGCTAGATTTTTTTTTTTTTCATTTTTGGTGATATACTCAGCTGGATTTCATCTACAAGTAGAGTTAGTAAACATGTTCACTGTATGTGTTTTTTTTTCTTTTTGAGTTATATTACTAAATTTATTTTTGGATGCATAATATAGACAAGCACACATACACTTTAATATTTTGTTATTTGTCTGAAACTTGAAAATGGTAAACTTTGGGAAGTTTCCAAGGGAATATTCTTTCTTTATGGTGGTACAAAATTCCAAACCTTTATGGCATTGCCATAAAGAGAACTTATATGTGCTCATGACAGTGAAAGAAGTAAGAGAATTGTGAATACTATAATGTTACAAAACATTATGGATATTGTACTGAGCTCAGTGCATTTTAAGTTAGAGAAAAGTCCGTTTTACATATTAATTTATGTACGTTATGAGTCTTAAACAACAATTATGGATGTTGTTTCAGTTCCTGCATTGGTTAAATTTTTTGAGGAAGAATCACACATCTTTCAGCGGAGTATTACATGTTTCTTTCCTGTATTTATCAATTGCTTAGTATCTATATAATAATCATACTTCTTGCAGGGTTTTCATTAGATGTTGCTTGCTGATAAACATCATATGTCTACCTTAGCTCATTACATCTCATCTACTTTAGTTTTATATGTATATCCTTTCTTCCAGCATTTTATTTCTTAAGGTAAAACAAAATCACTTTAACTGCAATGTTTTGAGTTTCTGTTTGCTTTAAAAAGTTGTTATGATATCATTCTGAAAACATTTCTAACACTTTTGAGTGAACCAGAAGTGAAATAAGTATAACATACATGATGCAACCAAATATTCTCATCGGAGAGTCATCAGTATGTGATTGATTCCCATTCTCTGCTCATTTACATCTAAGGAAATGTGATTACTGTTGGTGATTACCATAATTTTTCAAATATAATACAATTCCAAATATAATATGCCCTCTAATCTTCACAAACAAAGAGTCAAATTTGCTTTATCACCATAAATAATATGCACGTAGACTTTTGTAATACTGCAATCAAAGTGACCATTTTGCATTCACCATAATGCTTGCTATTACTGCAGTTGCAGCCAGCATATAAACTTGTCAAAATGTTAGAGTATCTGTTAAATCTCTAAAATTGAGTTTGTCTTAATACTTGCTATGTAGAGAAGTTGCACCAACTATTTGAGGACAGTGATTCAGACTCAGAATTTGAAAATGAATTGTACTTTTGAATATCAGATGTAATGTGGTGATAACTAGTTTTGTATTTCCAAACTTTTCCAAGTGTGCATGTAAAGAAATCTTAAAAATCACAAGACTTAGCTTCTTGATCATTTTATTTCAAAAATTATGTTTAAAGGTACTGAAACGAATGAAAACAGGAGACAATTCTCATTTATGGCTTAGAAATGGAGAGAATTAACCCTTTGACTGCAATCTACTTACATTATAAGTAGGTATGCGACTTTTATGAAAATTATTTATAAAAATGAAACTAGCTGATGATATAGTTTTAAATTTGACTTGAATGGTCCTAAGATTATGTACTTTAAAAAAAAAATATTTTTATTTTTTCTACTATTTATAATAAATATACATTATTTAATCTGAATAGTTTACATGCAATGTGATTTTTATTTTGAGTACATGAATACTATTTTTTCTCACAGTTTTCACATTTCATTTGCATAATCTCTATAACCTCCTAAATGAATATCAAAAGTTTTTTAGGTAAATGTTTATATTTTGTTTTCCACTTTCTCTATTATATCATTAACTCTAGATATCAATGTATAGTGAAATAAAATGTTTAAAATTAAGAAATGAAACTAAGTACATGCCTTTTAAACTATTGAAGAATAGTTTTCAAATTTCTTTTTGTCATATGCATAATTTCACGTCTTTATATTTTCACTTGTAGTTTATTTTTAATTATCTTTTCCAATTATTTGTCTTTTATTCATTATCCTAAGATCCACAACATGTCCCGCGAGGTGCTATGTTGTTTATTATAGGGCGAGTCTCATGCACAAATTCCAATCACATACGCTCGCACACGCAAATGATGCCATATTGCTTAGACATTTTGGTAAGCCAAACTACAACAAATTAAATGTATAAAAATCATAAACGTTTGAGATGTGCATTTTGAAACACAAATAATACATAATTAATTAAGATATAAATGTAAAACCTAAATGCAATCTAACTGTTTAGCAAACTAATACATATAAGGTGAGAAACACTGCCAAACATTACATATCTCTCAAGAGAACAATGGACTAAGCTTATTTTCTATTTCATACTACAGATCCATACACAGGTATAGGTTTCTTCAGGCAATAACTGAATAGTGAGAAATCTGCTCTTTCTATTGGTTATAAAAATGCCATTCAACTTTAAAGTGTTGCTTGACAACACAGCTTTGACTTTGTAAGTGGAAGTGGAAGTGGCTGACCTTAAACTTAGAAATATTAGAATGTTGTTTCACATTGAAATTCTTGGAAGTTTCTCCCCAGCTAATGAGAGACAGCTGGAACTGTATTTTGACTGTCTATATTAGGAACTCGTAGTTTCTTGTGTAAGACCTTTAAACTTGAGAATTTTAACCACAGTGGATCACGTGACAGCAAAAACTGCAGTTTTAATTGCTGTTTCAGATTTTTCTTTTCAAAATAAAGGAATTAAACTTAGATAATATAAAACCTTAAATTATAACGTATTTGATGATAGTAATTTCATTAAAATACGTTTATAGAAAAGTGGTTTAATTCAATTTTGAATTTAACTCAGTAAAATCTCATGACATGCACAGAAAGGGGTTTAAAGGTTCATCGCGTTCAAGGGGTTAGTAAGATATACCGTCAAAATACAACATTTCTAGTAAGTATGCATTAGCATTCACAACGTTTGTTGAAAAAGATTGTCTGTACTGGCTGTAAAAAACAAACCATTTAGATTTGTTACCATATATTATATGTACTCTAACTTCTAGATACATTTTTAGTAAAAAAAAAGCATGTATTGTATTCGGAAAATTATGGTATGTCACCAAATTTCAACATGCACAAAAGTAAAATAATTTTCAATTTAATGATTAATTTCACCTTCTTCAGAGACATTGTCAAAGTGACAGAGGGAACAAAGACATAGTATTTACAGTATTGAGGAAAAACAAGAGAATTGTATGTTTCACAAATACATCATTTATTACGACCATGATTTTGCCAGTAAAGGCATCATCATCGAGGTGGATTCCTGTACGTGGTGAGGGAACCTCCCAGAGATGGTTCTGTATTTTCAGTTTACATCCTCTGGGATTTGAACATTCACAAACGTGTTTACTATGCATGGTGACCCATGAATGGGAGGAGAGGATCCTGGTGGTTGAGTGGTGTCTGGAGCTCTGCAACACGCCACTTTAGCCTTGAATTCCTGTATACAGGTGGCCTTGGGGTGCCCCCAGGGTCAATCAGCTGGTCCTTTTGGGCTAGGGTCAACTGAGTATCAGTGTTGGGCAATTTAAACAGGTGTTGTGGACATTGTGTCTGATGATGGTGTTTGGATATAGTGCTCACAAAGCCCTGGCATTGCTGCAGTGTCCTTGTTTGGCATTGTAGTGCATATTCTCATAGGACTCCATGGTGGGTGGGGTCAGTGAGCACTGAACCATTCTCCTTTTATTATGGATCCCCCAAATCCTAAAAAAAATATAATAGTAAAAAT